ACTTATAGTCTGTCTAGTAGATGCTACGTGCCAAGTTTCAGCTCAATCGGATGCACGGACGCTGAGAAGCAGTTAATTGGCATTTGCCCCGCCCACTAATGACGTATGCCCACCAAAATTGATATGCTACCACAGAATCTTGTCTTAAATGTGCATGTCAAGTTTCAATGTTGTTGGCAGAAGCATTCTCCACTTATAGAGTTTTAAATGAATTATGAGCTATTTCAGAAGGGTTCATTAGCATATGGCAGCCATATTGTTTATAAAAGTCAAGATTTTTTTGATAATTATTGAGGATAAGACTCTTCTGAAATTTCTGATACCAGACACATGAGGATTGAGTGAAAACCCTAGAACTAGTTCGCAAAAGTAGGTTTTGCATATTATGCAAATTAGCAAAAAATCTAAGTGGGCGGAGCTAAATGGTTCAAATTGCAAAGTTGTTTGGCTTGACCCAAGGAATCATTAGAGGCCCTAATGGTGTAGAGGAGCTCAGTGAAAGTGGGTCAGAATTGGTGAAAAGGCCACAATATGGTATGATTCTTGATCAGGGCCCATATCCAATATGGGACCATGTTTTTGATAATTATTGAGGTTCAGGCTCTTCTGAATTTTTTGACACCAAAGACATGAGGATTGGGCAAAAACTGTAGGACTAGTTCGCAAAAGTAGGTTTCGCATATTTTGCAGTATTGCGAAAAAATTTTCTGGGCGGAGATTGACGAACCAAATGGCAAAGTTGTTTGATTGGACCCATAGAACCAGGAAAAAAATATGGCTTGTCTGGCAAAAATCTGGTTTAGGAGTTATTAGGCAAAACTGATTTTTCTGCGCTGTAGCGCCCCCTTGTGGCCGACTGGGCTGATTCCTTGCGCCTGAGTAGCGGGAGGGACTACTACCTATTGACCAAGTTTCATGTCTCTAGGACCTACGGTTTGGGCTGTGCGTTCCGTTTCAGGGAAGAAAAATAATAAGAAAAATCTTGACAATTACAATAGGGTTCAATGCATTGCATGCTTGAACCCTAATAAGAAGAAAAATCTTGACAATTCCAATAGGGTTCTACGCACTGCGTGCTTGAACCCTAATAAGAAGAACAAAAATCCGAGCAAAAACAATAGGGTTCTACGCACTGCGTGCTTGAACCCTAATAATAATAAGAAGAAAAACTCTTAACAAAAACAATAGGGTCCTACGCACTTACGTGCTTGGACCCTAATAATAAGAAGAAAAATCTTGACAATTTCATTGCATGCTTGAACCCTAATTTGACAATTCCAATAGGGTTCAATGCATTGCATGCTTGAACCCTAAAAATCTTGACAATTCCAATAGGGTTCAATGCACTGCATGCTTGAACCCTAAATATAGCCGCAAGCGGCAATGAGCGGGTTCAAGCATGCAACAGCAGCATGGGCCCTTCTGCAGGTTTAGCCCATTAGGCCTAAAAAGGCCTCAAGCTTCTCGTTTAGGCCATTAGGCCTAAAAAGGCCTCAAGCTTCTCGTTTAGCCCATTAGGCCTAAAAAGGCCTCAAGCTGTGGGTCTTATTTATAGTGAATAGAACTGAAAGGAACTCAGTTCATCAAAAGGCCGTCACCTGCCATAAACAGTGAGTAGAGGTCTTTAAACACATTATAGGTTCAAATTCATATGTACTGATCTACATTGGTTTGTAGAACATCCAAGAGGTTGTCAAAATAGATGTCAAAACTACATGACTAATGGTAGCATTTCTCACATAGTAGCACTTCCACAGTGGATTGGTTCTATATTTAAGCCATTGATTTTATGTAGGCCATAATGAGGCCCAATGCACTCACAAGAGGCCCTATTGGTGTGAGGAGCTCAGTGAAAGTGGGTCAGAATTAGTGAAAAGGCCACAGTATGGTATCATTCTTGATCAGGGACCATATCCAAAGACGTTCACTAAGTTTTGGTCAGAATGACCTTTTGACCTTTGTATAGTAAGCCTTTGTATAGTGAAGTCTTTGAATGAATAAGCCAAAATAAAAGACAAGCAGTGCAATTTTTGACATAACATATAATTAGAAAGTTGTTCAAGTGAGTGAACTGTGTCAGATGGCACCAATTGTTTATATGTCGACCTTGTAATAGCATTGTAATAGCATTTTAATTGATTTTTAAGTGTTTTTGAGTGCTAAAGCGCCCCCTAATGGCCAAACTGGACCAAAATTGGCAAACACCATTGAAGTCTAAATATGTAAATATCCTTAAAGTTTGGAGATGATCTGACCAATGACTGTTGAGTTATAGCAAATCAAGCTAGCAATCCCATGTTTGCAGTAATTAATTGATTGATCCTCAATATACTGAGTGGAAAAGTAAACATGTTTTTGATAATTATTGAGGATCAGTGTCTTCTGAATCGTATGGTACTAATTTGATGAAAATTGGCAAAAAATCCAGAGACTAGTTCGCAAGAATAGGTTTTTCACATTATGCAAATTAGCTCAAAAACTAAGGGGGTGGGGCAAAAATTGAGTGGGGGTGCACTTGTTCAGTCCCAAGGAATCAGCAGAAAAAAGAATTTTGTCTCTATCTCACTCTGATCAAAAGTTACAGGCAAAAATATGAGTAAAGTTGAGAAAGGTGAAAAATAGAAACATAGGACTAAAGTAAAGTATGAGCTCAGTGAAAGTGGGTCAGAAATAGTGAAAAGGCCACAATATGGTGTGATTCTTGATCAGGGACCATATCCAAAGATGTTTACCAAGTTTTGGTCAGATTGACCTTTTGACCTTTGTATAATAAGCCTTCGTATAATGTAATCTTCTAATTAATAAGCCAAAATACCAGACAAACAGTACAATTTGTGACAGAACATGTACTTACAAAGTTGTTCATGTGAGTGACCTGAGTCGTATGGCACCATTTGTTTATCTGTCGACCTTGTAATAACATTGTAATAGCATTTTAATTGATTTTTGTGTTTTTGAGTGCTAAAGCGCCCCCTAAAGGCCAATCTGGACCAAAATTGGCATACACCATTAAAGTCCAAATATGTAAATAGCCTTAAAGGTTGGACATGATCTGACCAATGACTGTTGAGTTATAGCTAATTAAGCTAACAATGCCATGGTCGCAGTAATTAACTGATTGATCCATACGACCCTGAGTAGAAAAGTCAACATGTTTTTGATAATTATTTACCTACACATGCCAAAGAATTTTTCCAGACCAAGTTCGAAAAGATTGGATCAAAATCCAGGGACTAGTTCGAAAAGTAGGCTTTTTAAACAGTTACCGATTAAAAAAACTGCAGTTTTGTAATAAACATGTATTGGCAAAATTGTTTGTAATAATGTACTACATATGATAAACAAGGAATTTCAAGCAAAATTGTAATAAAATAGTAATAATATGTAATAATATGTTAATTTTTACGAATAGCGCCCCCCAGTGGTCAAATCTTTTGAAACTTGACTGTTTGTTAGAAAGTGGCTATATGTAGAGATCATTCAAGTTTCAAGATGATTGTTCAATGGTAAGCCTGTCAAAAGCCTGCTAAATGCTTATTGGCCGATGGCGACCATGTGCTTCAATGAATCAAATTGTCCTTATGGATTCACTTATAGTCTGGCCAACAGATGGTATCTGCAAAGTTTCAGCCTGATCGCATGTACAGATGCTGAGAAACAGCCATGTAGCATTAACTCCACCCCCTAATTACATATGCGCACAAAAATCGAATGGCTACCTCAGAATCTTCTCCCAAATGTGTCTGTCAAGTTTGAAATTTTTTGGCTGAAGGGTTGTCGAGTTACAGAATTTTAAATTAATTCTGAATTATTTTGAATTTATCCAGAAGGGTTCATTTGCATATGACAGCCATGATGTTTAGAAAAGTCAAAATGTTTTTGATTATTGACCCTCCGGCTCTTCTGAATTTTTTGACACCAAAAACATGAGGATTGGGCAAAAATTGTAGGACTAGTTCGCAAAAGTAGGTTTTGCATATTATGCAAATTAGCTCAAAATCTAAGTGGGCGGAGCTAAATGGTCCAAATGGCAAAGTTGTTTGTTTGGACCCAAGGAACCAGGAAAAAAATATGGCTTGTCTGGCAAAAATCTGGTTTAGGAGTTATAGACTCAAACGCGTTGACCTGCGCTATAGTGGCCCCTTGTGGCCGACTGGGCTGATTCCTTGCGCCTGAGTAGCGGGAGGGACTACTACCTATTGACCAAGTTTCAAGTCTCTAGGACTTACGGTTTGGGCTGTGTGTTCCGTTTCAGGGAAGAAAAGGAATATGAAGAAAAATCTTGACAATTACAATAGGTTTCAATGCATTGCATGCTTGAAACCTAATAATAATAATAAGAAGAAGAAAAATCCGAGCAAAAACAATAGGGTTCTATGCACTGCGTGCTTGAACCCTAATAATGTACGTCTTGTGACATGTATCGAAGTTGCATGCAAAATACAGTATTTCTTGTTGCACCATTTAATATTTTAATGCTAATTAAATAAAAGATTTTGTTGGAAATCATATGAAATCAACATAAACACAGAGATTACATTAAAACAGAAAAAGTACATGCATTTTAATCAGTTATTTTGAAGATACTGAATTTTTTATTTATTTATTTTGCCCATCTTAGAAGTCTTTTTCTATATGAAGCATGTTTCCTCAATGTTTTTTGAATAGTTAATGGATGCCAAAACAAAAAATGAGCATCGTGTCATTAACTCACATGTAACTGACTGCTTTACTTTTATGTTTTATAAATTTATGCTTATGAAATATTTATTTTCATTATATCTTAATGTATTTGAGATAGTACATGCGTTTATACCATGAATACTGTGTACCCTATATACACCTTATACATACTCTGAACTGATTACACGTCCCTTCAGGGATCAATAGAGTAAATCTTGTCTGTATTACAGATAACAGGTGCTGTATTTTGGTATCTTCATACTGAAGTCTTGTGTATGGCAGTAACATGGTGTTTGTTGTGTGTTGTGTGTGTGCAGGTGGGTGCTGTGTGCGAACCACACAGAGCCGGTGAAGGGCTTTCTGGGTCGTTTCCTGCGCAGGAAGCTGATAGAGACAGAGATCAGCAGCCGGAGTCGGAGTCCGGAGCTGGTGAAGATTATCGAGTGGATCGCACGTGTCTGGCTCCACCTCAACCGCTTTCTGGAAACACACAGCTCCTCGGACGTCACCATCGGTGAGAAAAACAACAGCAGATTAACCCTTTAAACTCTGAACAGACCCAAAGACTCACACCATGTTTGTAAATAATGTAAAAGTACTGTTGAGAGATTCTGTATTTATTGTTTGATTATATGGATTATTGTGTTTGTTTTGGATGCAGTGATATATTTTTTAAAACTGTGCTGTCCCGATGTGTCCTGCAGGTCCTCGGCTGTTCCTGTCCTGCCCCATGGACGTAGACGGGTCGCGGGTTTGGTTCACTGACTTGTGGAACTACTCCATCATACCGTACCTGCTGGAGGCCGTCAGAGAGGGACTGCAGGTACCAGATCACACGCCGTCAGCTCACACAGTGGGAGAGGGAGGGAGGTGAATTAGAGTTTTTCCAGTGTGAGTCCGGTCAGTGTTAAAGCAGTGCGTTTCTGTCTCCCAGCTGTACGGACGCAGAGCACCATGGGAAGACCCCGCCCGCTGGGTGATGGAAACATTTCCTTGGGGGTCGAACCCCATGCAGCCTGATTGGCCAGCTTTACTGCAGCTCCGCCCAGAGGATGTGGGGTTCGATGGATACTCCTCCTCGAGAGAGGGAGCCAGTAAACAAAACACTCAGAGTGACAGTGATGCTGATCCACTGGTGAGAACCACATACACACACACACACACACACATACATATTACATAATGGGTTTCTATATCTAATAAGTAATTGTAAGTAAATAAATTAGGGGTGTATATATTTCTATATAAAAAGCAAGTAGTGATGGTATCCCATTTAAATACATAAAAACATTAAACACACATAAATAAAAACACACAGAGGTTTTTTTTCTATTTTTTTTTTTAATAATTCAAATGGTTCCTCACTGTTCTTCCTGTAATTCTTCTGTTAAAAAAAATTTTGCTTATCATTTAAAAGAAGTTCCAAACATTCTCAGTTTTTTCTCTCTCACCGCCTGCTTCAGCTGCTCCCACAATCCCCCAAGCAGGAGTCCATTATAACGCTGATGCTAAACTTATCACTCGCAAACATTTTTACAACTGAGGGTGATTATTAGTTTGATCAACTCTCAAAAGAGCTCAGCAACACAGTCAGTCTACTCAGGTATTAGCAGAGCTCCACAGCACTGAGATTAATAACTAATCCCATTGATTGATCGTTTTGTTGTCTCCTGTTTTTCTCTGGATTCACTGCAAAGTCAGTATAACCTATTACTCCTCACCTCTCTCCACACAGATGAACATGCTGATGCGGCTGAAGGAGGCGGCAAACTGCTCCAGCCCACAGAGTTACGACAGCGACTCCAACAGCAATGGTCACCATGACGACATCCTCGACTCCTCGCTGGAGTCCACGCTGTGATGCTCCACTTTGCCTTTTCATTTTACTCAGCACTGACGTTTCGGTGAACGTTTTTCCCTCCAGCTCAGGCAGCTGCTTTCAGATTCATCTCTCTGCATGGGTGCTGGAAACCTGTCCAGAGAAAAGTGGCTCCATCCTCTGAAAAATGGAAAAAACAAACAAATACTGCACTACCCATAATTCAGCTCATCTTCAAGCCTCCACTCATGAAGCATACAGATTTTAAAACAGCACAAACAGCGACAACACTGTTCCCAGGAGCATTACTTCACAACTTCTTCTCTCAGCTTCTTTTTATCCTGACTTTCAAGAAAGATTTCAGCAAAAAAAAATCTAATTTAGAAAAGACTTTTAGCTTAGCTTTGCAACAAAATGTAGCAGAGGCTAGCCCAAACTTGATTTTTTATGCATTTTAGTCTGTGTTCACAGATAACAGTGTACTGAACACTGTCAGAAACCACATCAAGTCTATTAGAGATACCGAACAACTCCACACAATCTGAGTGTGCAATGATTTAGTCATGCTGTTAGCATCATGCTAATAATGGCTGCTTGGATTATTTACCTACATTAGCCTCGTAGCTCCACTGCTAAAACTCAAAAGGCAAACTTCAGACACCAAACATGTCTGAGCTGATTCACTACATTTGGATTAAAGGGAGATAAATGTGCAAATTTGACATTTACTTCCACCAAATGATAATTTTTAGCATTCTGAGAGAAACTTCCGCAGAGAAAATGGTGCTATGAAGGATGCTGTGCCCCCTGCTGGTGAGATTTGGGAACTACATTCAGAAAAAAGACTGGTGGACAGATTACACACATATAAACTCCACTACTGTGCCACAAAGTTTGTTTATTGTGATGCTGGCCATCGTCGCATATCTTCAATGCAATAGCAAGACGTTCTGGACAGATTTTAGAAGCCTAATTTTGGACCAAACAAGATGTTCGGCCCACGAAACAAGCTTTTTGTGTAATTTTACGTCAACAAAACTACCGTTGTGTCTTTTTGCTATTCAAAGATAGCGGATAATTTATTTTAATGATCTCATATCTATCCTGGATCTGCTTTTTCTTGCACCAGCGCTGAATAATTTACTCTTTCATCAACGAGGCAGGTCTCCTTTGCACACTTGTTCGCTGTAGCACTCCCACATTCGCATCACTCTGGCTGTTTTTTGTTTTTTTGGTGCTGAATCGACCCTGGTGCCTTAAATCTGTTTTGTAACGTAAACCCAAAAGGCACTGTGTTTATAAATGTTTTTATACTGAACTCTTCATTGAACTGTAACAGGGTTCTGCTGTTTTTTCAGCCTGCCGGACTGAAACAGCCTTTATAGTGGCTTTATTATGTTGTCATATCGAACAGTCAGTGGACATTAAAGTCACCTTTTTTAACATCGTAGACCTTAACATTGGCATCACTGAGGCTGGAAAACAGTGACGTCACTAGCAAGCATTAGCACAACAACAGTCTGTGTGGGAAGACGTGAGGCTTTTTTGGGGGCTCAACCGATACGAACATCACCGATACCAATTTTAAGGAGCTAAACCTTCTGCTAAATGATAATATCAGTGGATATTATCAAAATGTAAACAGCTAAAACAGTGCTTTACTGACTAAAATGATTGCTAGTTTTCTTAAACTCAAACATTAAATTAACAAAAATTATAAAAAGCCTGTAAATATTGTTGGTGGAGCTTCCCAGCATTTCGTTGGTTTCTGTTAATTAGCTCTTATTGCATCTGATCTTTTAACCTGAAAGTGATCAAGTTTAAAGGTAGGTTTGAATGCATATTTTTTGTTATTTTAATTAAGATGAAAGCATTAAAATGCTCAAAAAATAAAGAAAGCTGAGCTGTCATTCATTGCAATGTAAAACCAGCCAATAATGTAAATATTAGTGCCAATATCAAGCAAATGTAAATATACAATATAAATATCAACAGCATTTTTCAACAATCTTGATGAATGATATACCGGTTGGGCCCTTCTTTCTTTGGTGCTTCGAGATGTATTTGGTATTAAAAGCACACGGTGCTGAGAACGAAATGGTGGGAGTTTTATTTGGTTTTGTGAGTTTATACCTCATTGACCTCCAGGGCCTTTACTTTGGCCTTTGAGTTCAAATGTGAAGGATGGAAAATTACTGTGTAACAGCCACTCAATGCCATATCACTGCTGCTTTTGTAGGACTGTAATCATAAGAACAGGTACTGAAGATTAATTTTGAATATGGAAAGTGGCTGCGTGATTATTCACTCGATTATTTACTCGATTATTAGCAGATATCAGGAGTCAGTTGTGATTTTTTCATTTTGAATCCTCTCCAGTATCATTGCTAACTTTGCCTTGGTGCGTTTCCAATATTATGGCCACATCGCTTCCACTCTGTTTCAGCGTTTTTGGGTGTTTAAAGTCGTCAATCCTATGCAACATCATCCTGGATTTCAAACGGAAGCCAAATACTGTAGCTATCTAGACACTTTAAGCACTGCCAATATACATAAACATATAAATCTATATATATTGAATGTACAATGTGTAAATAGTCTGTGAATAACTCTAGGATATGTGCCTATGATTTTTTTTTCTGAATTATGATGATTGCTATAAGTCATTGCAAGCACAGATTCTGTACGTGTCGAGTTAATCTCTGAATGGATCCGAGTTGTGTTATTGAATGTGTATTTTGCTGTGTACATATAATAACATATCTGAATACAGCTGCATTTTGATGAATACTCTTTTTACTACATGTTTATAACAGTGCGTGGAGATGGGTATTTTGTGTACAGTGTCTTTTTCATCTAAACAGGTGTTCGCTGATAAAAATCTCTGACAGGACGATGGTGATGATGATGATGCCTCTCAAGGATATACTGATCACTGTACCAGTCTTAAATTATTTACAATTCAATAAAACTAATGATTATTTATGAATGGTTCTTGTTATAATTAAATCATTACGAACAAGCATAAATAATTCATTTGATCCTCATTCGTATTTGAATAGCTGCAGTGGTGTTATTTTCAAGGGCCCATATCCTACATTTTTCTTGCATTTTATATTCTTCCCCTGAGGTCTAAATAGTAGAGTGAGCACCACACTAAACAATCTCGCCACTAGTTAAGATGATGTAAACACTAAGAATCTTTTGGGGAATCCAGTCAAGACTGGTTTTGTTACTGTACCTTTAAGACTGATATATGTAAATGAGTTCTGTTCTGATTGGCTGTTCTGTTTTGTGTCTCATTCAAAGATCAGACTGGCTAAAACAGTCCTTTAAACTTCAGTGTGGGTGGGGAGGGCTGGTTAGGCAGATATATGTAAATGCATTGACTTTTGTGACAATTCAAAACAGGCTGTATCAAGTCAAGTCAGCTTTATTGTCAATACTACAATATGCACAGGACATATAGAGTATTGAAACTGCGTTACTCTCAGACCCCGTGGTGTAGCAATAACGTTAAATAGACAGTAAACAGGAAATGTGTGAATTAAGTAGACAGTAAATAAACACTAAACACCGTAAAAATAAACACTAATTGCAGAAAAATAGAATAATAAAAAAAATGAACTGGGATGTGATGGGTATGTTTTGAAACTGATGTAACAGATGTAAATCATTTTATTTTTAAAAAAGCAAGGAAAACTCAGTTCCATGGTGTGAGCTCTATACACGTGTATGTGTGTGTACAGAGGTGGGTAGAGTAGTCTACGTCAATACTCAAATAAAAGTATTGATACTTGGGTAAAATGATGACACAAGTAAAAGTACCACGAAATATAACAACTTGATCAAAAGTACAAAAGTATCAGGTCAAATTACTAATGTGTAACTTATAGAACTGCAGCGGAACGTCTTAAAAATGTTATTGACAACAAAACGAAAAAAAAAAACACAAAAAAGAATTAATAACTAATTATGAATAGCAAAAATGTAACTGAGCACTCACTCTTAAGTACACACACACACATATATATATACATACATCATCTAAACCGCTTATCCTTCTGGGTCGCGGTGGGGTGCTGGAGCCTATCCCAGCTGTCATTGGGCGGAAGGCAGGATACGCCCTGGACAGGTCGCCAGTCCATCGCAGGGCAGACAGACATACACAGTCACACACACACCTAGGGGCAATTCAATTCAGCATGTCCAATTAGCCTGACTGCATGTTTTTGGACTGTGGGAGGAAACCCACGCAGACACAGGGAGAACAGGAAAACTCCACACAGAAATGACCCTGGTCACCCACCTGGGAATCGAACCCAGGCCATTCTTGCTGTGAGGCGACAGCGCTACCCACTGCGCCACCGTTACCCACTGCGCCACCGTGCCGCCTTATTTTTTTTTATATATATATATATACATATATATATATATATTTTTATTTATTTATTTATTGGGTTCAGAACAAGTATCTGATGTAATGTTATTCAATGGGTTTAGTGCCTATTTAAAGAGTTTTAACTGCTCTCTGCATGTCAGTACTGTTCTATTATCATCAAACTTAATCCAGTATCATCTAACCCAGAATAACATGATCTGAGATTTTACTACAATACGATCTTCACCTAATCTGAGAAGTGGACATTTTGAGTAGCTTTAGTGTCGTTCATGTTCCATAATAGTTATAATACATAATAGACTTGGAAAATATATTAAAAAAAACATATAAATGTAAATTCTGTTGTTTAGTGGACATTTAGAGTGGTCGGATTGTGAATGTGTTTCATTGCAATAGTCTGTAATTGATATTTGGTGGCCTTTCTTAAATCTTTCAAAATATCTTTCGTGTAAAAGCACAGGGATAATAACAGTTTGTGAATGCCATTGCAATAATTGCAAACAAGTGTTAATTCTTTTCACAATTTATTTGCACTTTTTTTACAAATATGCATACAACGAGACACAGATTCGTATAAATTATACGTAAGTCTACAACTTTTAATAAAAATATCTATGTGAAATATAACCGTATGTAACTCAATATTCTTGGTATAAAATATCCATACAAAAATATTTGTACAAAATACTGTACAGTTCCGAAAAACGCTGTGCAACACAGCAAAAATCATAAGATCCTAAAGCCTAGTACAAACAACCGCTGGAAAATACATTCATGTGAATGTTCATAGTGGTCTAATTACAGAGATGCACAATTATGGCCTGGATGTGGGCCATAAATATGATCATTTGTAGATGGTTTTAGCCATTTTAACTCAGATTTCTACATTAATCGCCTTAGTATCCTGAATTTAGGTGGTTTTAACTAAAACATTGCTCACTACTTCAGATATGGGCATGGCCTCCTTGGAAACCTAACTAGCTGGCTAGCTAGTGGAGTTTTGAAGTTAGCACCAAAATGAAAACGTTAGCTACCACTGTAGTGTTATTATCTAGAACACAACAAACGACGTTTTCTTATTACATACAAGATAAATGTTATGAAGATATCTGCCAAACAGTGCGAGCTAGGATATGACTATAGTGCTAATGCTGGCTTAGCTAGCGTGCTAACATGGCCTGCCAACTGAAGTTGCACGAGAACACAGGATGAAGACTAAAGTCTGAGAGAAAATGAGAAAACTGAGTTAGAATCACTTAAATTCAATAGATAAATCACTATATTTTCTAGAACAGGGCGTAGTTTGGCCTAACATGTCCGCCGTGCAAGGCTTTGTGTCGATAAAGCTAAAGTTGCTTTCGTATTCGCCCGATTCTTGTTTGAATTTTCCGTCTAACCTTCAATGGTTCAGCAGCTAGGAAAATGCTAGAACAACTTCAAATGCAAGACGTTGGCTTCTTATCCGACCTTTCCGTTCCACCTAAGTTGGTGCCCCAGTTACCTGTATCTGCTATATGTCATGTATACCAATACATGTAACCGCTGCACCATTTAAGGTGGAACGGAAAGTTCGAACAACAAGCCAACTTCAGCCTCGACTTCCTTTATTGACCGCATTAGCTGCGTTTGTGCTTTGCGTTTACAGTCACTTTAGTCTCATAAAAACTGTGGGAGCTTCTATGAGACCATTATTTCTTCATCTGACGCTGAAAAATCTGAGTGTTTCCTGAAATGAGACGGAGACACAACGTTGGGCTCGCCTTCATCCTCCTCCTCTGAAGACTTCTTCCCCACGTCGCTCAGGTCCGGGTGCGGGTTGGTCTTTGTGGGCAGGGTTTGCTCTCTGCAGCCTCCAGCAGACAGCAACTCTCTCTCCTTCGAGTTCCTCCACTTCATTCTCCTGTTCTGGAACCAGATTTTGACCTGTGGAGAAGATAAGAAAGGTTAAAATCACCCTGCTTCAGTGTTCGTGTTTGTTTCAGAACTGTATTATGAACTAAAGCAGACTTGTGGAGGGTTTGAGTTTAGCACAGTATGTTTGTTTTCCCATTCAATCAGCATTTTACCATTAAATCTGAACATTAATACATATGCTGAATCAGCCAGTATGAATAATTAACATTTGACAATAATATATTGGTTCTCCACCTGCTATATGAGTACACATAGGATATAGGATGCATGCTTAAAGGGCTCTTTGCATAATGAAATGGTTCTCCAGATTGATGGAGAATGTGTTCTATATAGCAAAAAGATTATTCTATTAGTATGATGTCAATAACAATCACAGAACCCTTTTTGGTGCTATATAGAACCGTTTTCAAAAGGCTTCTATATAAAACTATATATAACACATTCTTCATCAATCTAAGGAACCATTTAATTATGCAAAAAATCCTTCAAGCATGCAAATGATTCTATGTAGAACTCATGGTTCTAACTCTTACTAACCCTTGAAGAAGATCTTTTTTCTTCAGATAAATGTATTTTTCCTTTTTTTAAAAGATCACTGAATAAATTAATGAATAAAAATAAATTGTACTGGCACACACACTGATTAATTCGTTATGAACCAGCTTTATTAGCTTTATTTGCATCACAAATGTCTATTTTCATGCTCATATAGGCATATAAGTAAGCAATTAATGCATAATCTCTGTCAAATATAAATATATATTTCAGCATAAATAAGATTGTATTAACCCCCTTTTTGTATTGTGAATGTGTATATTTTTGGTCAAATAGATGTTTAAACAAGTACGTACTGTATATATCAAATATTGTATAGGAGGAAGATCATCATATACATACAGTTAAGCCTTCTACACTGTTAGAAATGAGAATAGTCATATTTACCTGTGAGTCTTTAAGGCCCAGTTTGGCGGCAAGCTTCTTCCTGTCCGGTTTGCTGATGTATTTCTGTTTCTGGAACATTTTTTCCAGAGCTTTCCGCTGGACGTCCGAAAACACGGCCCTCCGGAGCATCCCTCTTCTGGGCTTCCCTCTGGAGGCCAGGGGCCATGAGAATGTCCCGGGAATGGGCACCATGGATGAAGAGGCTGTGGAGAAGCAGAAAAGAACGGTAAATAAAACCTGATTATTCACATTTATGTGAATAAGAGCCCGAGTGAAAGAAGTTTTGTGTTCTCTGAGAGGGCTAAAAGTTAACACTGCGTTACCAAAGGGCTAACAGAAGTGCTACTTTTCCCATTTCCATGGGAGAATGCAAAGTGGTGTGGACGAAGATTTCTTTATAATTAATATCATTATATTCAATTTATACAGTATAAAATGGCTGTGGCGTTGAGAGAAATGGCCTGAGGTGACTAATTAGCACATTGGCTGCATTGGGATGGAAAGGAGGCTTCCACTGCAGCACACACACGAGTTAATACAGTGTGAACTCTAATTGTGTAGTAATGAACTGGCAAAGAAAAGACTGCGGACAGGCAGCTAAAGCCATATATTACAGCCACAAAGAGAGATTTACACTTTGAAACTAAACACAACTGCATGCCTGAATACTCAATGACCAGGGGCCTGGGCTCTTCTTTCTCTCTCTCTCTCTCTCTCTCTCTCTCTCTCTCTCTCTCTCTCTCTCTCCTGCCCTCAAATCATTTTCATTAAATGAACACGAAAAGCCATTGAGCCTATTGAGAGCAGCCAGTCTGAAAAGAGTCGCAACTTTATTATTTGGGGTTGAATGCAGCTTGCAGCAGAAAAGACCTTTTCTTCAGCTCACTCACAGCTTAGAAAAGAGCCAAACTAAAGCGTGCTCGCAGAAAACAATCACATCCTTCAGCACTGCTTCACATACTCCTCTGCAGCTCGCTGTCTCAGCAGCTGCACTGTAAAATACACCGTTTAATGGCTTTCGCACACAGACAGTAAACGTTGGTCAAGTGACCTGTTTTTGTTGATTTTTAATGTGAAAGTAAATGCTCTGTGTTGCTGAATTTAAAACAAAACATAAAATGTGGCCTGTGCAAAAATTTCAGACCATTTTATGTTTATTATTTCTGGTAAATAAGAACAAATTGTGCTACGGTTTGCAGAAATGAGCTGTATGTTTAGGTTTATGGACTTTAGAGGACATGTTAACTTATTTGCAATTAAATAACGAGTGACCAGGGGTGCCTAAACTTTTGCACTATGTGAAGACTATGTGAAATATCTTTTATTACCTCTAAGCACAAATTTGAAGACAAATTTCAAACAGATCAAACCATTATCACTTAATTTATCATATTAGTTTTTTGCTTACCTGAATATTAGACACTCCACAATTTGATTGTGATTACATAATAAAAACTCAAATAGGCACTGTTAGATGTTCATACATAAAATTTGGTCACTTTAGACCAATCAGAACACGTTCCTTACCATTTTTACTAATCAGACTAAGTTTAGCTGTTTAGCTAAACTGCCTACTTTAAAATTTTAATATAATTGTACTCAAATAAATAGTTAACAGAATGGAAGAGCTGATAACTGCTCTGTTAACTTACGATTAGTGGTTCAGTTGGCTTTTAATTTTAAGGTAGCGAGGTTACATGCTGTTTTAAAGTTAAAAACAACAAATCGTTTTGCTGGTTAGCTTGATTATGGACTTTATAATATATAGTTATTCATTTACGCTAGTCATTACTTTATTAAACCCACTGATATCGCTCTTCTCTGAGCACCACCTCCACCCCATGTGGTCTTGCAGGAGTGCTGAACCCAGTCAATGGATGCTAATGGGGGAAATTAGCGCATGACTGCTACATGCCCCGCTCGGCCTGTTAAAAGTCACTGTTTTCCGGCTGAGGGTGGGAGTTTCAGTGGGTGGTTTGGTGGGTGGTTTGGTCACGCTGTAATTGGTGAAGGTTCACGGATATAAAGCAGCATCCATGCTAAAATTAGCAAGGCTTGTTTTGGACAATGCTAATGCTACACTGCTGGTGGGTTAATGAGTGTTCAGGAGGGCTTTAACAGAGTTCGCTCAGTGGTCTAATACTGACAGACTGTTAAAGAAAAAGATGAAGAAGATGACAAAGATTTATTTACTAAAGAACCTTTGAAGAACCATCTTTTTTAAAAGATTTCTTTATCTTATAAAAGTACCGGAACTCTGTTTGATACTGTATATTTCAAAAAAGGTTCTTTGCAGCAGCAAGTAGTGTTCTGTTATTGTTAAAAATCATTTTAATCTGTTGGTACTATATAGAATTGTATTAGTAAAACCAAAGCATGTTCCACATAAAACAGAATATAAAATACAGAAATATAAACTCACCAGGGAAGTAAGCGGAGCGGATGAAAGGGTAGAAAGATCCATCATAATACGGAGCAGGAAAAGCTTTGGGGTGGAACGAGCAGACGGCAGGGGGGCCCGGAGCTACAGAACACAAACAGAAACGCATTTGTTCAGCAGTGTCGATCACTGTAATGATCTTCTTACTGGAGAAAACAATCTATCCTCTACAACTCGTACAAAACGCAGCAGCACAGATCCTCACAACACCAACACAGAGAGCTCATACCACCCCCGTTTACACACTGCACTGACCACCTGGATCTTTTAGGAGAGATTTTAAAGCTCTGCTGCTGGTTTTTAAAGCTCTAAACGACCTTAAAGCTCCTGAATGTGTGTCTGTTTATGATCTTAGATCTGCAGATACTGACCTTCTGCAAACACCTTTCGTAAAATACAGAAAACATGGAGAGACTCTTTCTGTTATTCTGCTTCTGAACTGTGGAGCTCAGTTCACCTTTTATTAGACAGTCAAGCTCAGAGCTTACTTTTAATAAACATCTGAAAGCGCAGCTCTTTAATGCAGCACTTCGTTAAAACTCTGTTATTGTCTTATGATTTTAAATTAATAGTCTTCTGTTACTGTTGAGCTTTATCGTCTGTCTGTAAAACACTCTTAGCTGAGCTATGATGGTTCTTTAGTAAAGGTAACATTTCTATCTAGAACACCGTAAGTTCTATATTGAACCATTTCATGCTTAAATGGTTCTTTGCACGGATAATAAAATGAGATAATGGTTACAGTACACTCTTAAAAATGTTTTTTTTTTCAAGAGTTTTTAGTAAAGACAGTGGTTCTATATAGAACCATGAACACTTTTGCTTGCTTAAATGCTTTGCATGGTGAAATGGTTCTTCAGTTTGATGGAGAATGTGTTCTCTATTGTTACAATGTTAATATACAACGTTTGTATACAATAGGACCCGTTTTGGTGCTATACAGGACCATTTTAAAAAAAGATTCTATATAGAACCATACAGCATATTCTCCATCAATCCAAAGAACTATTTCACCATGCAAAGAACCATTCAAGCATGCAATTGGTTCTATTTAAAATTCATGTTCCTAAACTGAACCATTTCCTTTACTTAAGAACCCTCGAAGAAACATATTTGTTAAGAGTGTATAATTAAAGATATTATTATTATTAATGTTATTAGAATTATAGAGGCTCCATATGACATGCATAAGCACTGAATAATGCATTTTAAGTGTTCTTAAACTACAGAGAACATTCATAACGCTGTTATAAAGCATCATACAACAACTGTTAATTTGAAACCCATACAAAATACCTTAGGACAGAACATGTTATAACATATAAAATCAGCTGAGGTGAGCTCTCTCGCGCTCTTACCTGTCCTGGGCGTGTGCGCGAGGATGGCTCTAACTCCGAACTTCAGGTCCTCTGGCGCTCCTGGTTGGTGGGTTTTGGTGAGCACGGGCGGGGTGGGCGGGGCTCGCGGCAGCAGCAGCTCTTCCACGCGAAACCCGGACCTGCGCGGTGGGGGCGGGGCGAGAGGAGGAGGGGGCGGAGTCTTCATCATCATCATCATCATCATCGTGGTCATAGACAGAACCAAAAGAGCAGCACGAGCAGCGCGCGGAGACACAGAGGAAAGCTCGAGAGCCCGCGTCCTTTATACCGCGCACTCTCTCTCCGGATTGGCTAGCTAGTAGCACGAGTCTCATTGGACGGCTTACAACAAAGGAGGCGGGGACTCTATTTACATACGGGCTCGTTTGCATGCGGAGTGAGTGTGATAAACGTGTCGAGTTGAGTTTATTTATTCTGTTTCTCTTTATTTTGTGCTGCAGCCTCACTGAAGAGTTTAATTTAAAAAAGATTAAAAAGATTAATCCAGTTTTACCCTTAATTCACTCAGAGAAGAGCATCATTAACCCTGCGTTCTTTTTATCACCTATTAAAGTCTAATATTAGAGATAATATATATTAATACAGATATACATTTTTAAACTATTATTATTATTATTATTATTATTACTATAAGTAGTGGTAGTAGTAGTATTGTACTTGTGTTGGTGGGCATATAATTATATTTATACAATAATATAATTAAAAGCATATTGCACTCTTTAAAAAAAGATTTATAAATAAATTAATATTTTTTTTAAATAGAATAAAAAATCAGGATCCCATAGAAGAACCACTTTTGGTACCTTATAGAACCTTTCAATGGAAGGTTCTTTAGAGAGACACTTTTTGCACATTTATTTATTTATTTTTATTTATTTATTAAGGAGTTTATATTTTTAGAAATTACGCTTTTAGAACTTACATTTTCAGGGATCTCCACATAATGTAAAGGTTCCTTTACAGTGAAGGTTCTTCACACTCACAAATCCCATTTTGGTCCTTTAGGGAACCAAAAGTGGCTCTCCTATGACTCTCAGAACACTTTTTGTGGCACCTGCCTAAGCTGTCATTTTAGGTCTGTAAACCCCATAATCTAATAAATTATTATTTTAATATAAAGGGACAGTAGAATGAACAGAATGTAGTCATCATTTGTTTATCTGCTGGGTTAATAGTTTGTATATTAATGCAGTTTAAACCTGGTGTTTCTGAAGCTTTATTTGTTTATACTTTATAACTGCAGCATTAGATTCATACAACTAATAATCAGCTGTATTTCTTGCTGGTATTTATTTTTTAAAGAAAATGAACAGCAATAACATAATTGTTTCACTGACATTAGACATTCTCCTCACTGTGGGTTCCACACATTCTTCTCTAAACCACCAGAATAAGATACATTTTTCGGATTAGTTTTCATTCGAATGAATATATCAGTGATTTCAGGAGTCCTGTGCGAGGAGATACAGTTATTGCACAAGATGGTTCTTCAGGGGGTCTTTAGTAAAGAAAGTGAACACTCAAAGAACCATTTGCATGCTTAAATGATTATTTGCATGGTGACATGGTCTTCGGGTTGATGGAGAAAGTGTTCTTACAACAAAAAGAGATCTGCTATTGTTACAATGTCAAGACAACAGCAGACCTCTTTTTTGGTACTATATAGAACCATTTTTAAAAAGGTTCGATATAGAAACATAAACAACACATTCTCCATCAATCTGAAGAACCATTTCACCATGAACCAAAGAGAGTGCTCAAAGAACTCTTGAAGAACCATCTTTTTTAACATATATACACTTAAAAAGCGTTCATTGTCACAACAGAAGACCCTTTTTTGTTGCTACATAGAACCCTTTTAAAAAAAGTTCTATATGGTTCTATAACTATAAAGTTCTAGAACCATATACAGCAAATTCTCCATAACTCTGAAGATCAATTTTACCATGCAAAGAACCCTTTAATCATGCAAATGGTTCTTTTAGTGTTCATGGTTCTATATAGAACCAGTCTTTACTAAAGAACCCTTAAAGAACCATCTTTTTAAGTGTCTATAAATAATCTGTGTCCTCAGTAATGTTGATGCAGTTAAACATTTACCATCACCTATAGGAGTGTGTTTTATTTAAATGGCTGTGTGTGTGTGTGTGTGTGTGTGTGTGTGTGTGTGTGTGTGTGTAAATCCTCTCTTTGTGAGCAGCAGATGGTTGAAGGGAAAACATGCCTTGTGCCTTTATTTTCATGACCGAGACCAATCTGTAATAGTGCAGCTAAAGCTGCTTTTTCTTTCAGTTACAGAGTAAAAGCAGCTGGTGGGTCTGATTAAGCCCATTAAAGGCACATTTCCATCATATTACAAACCAAAACAACACCTCAAACACCTCGCAGCTTGGCGCGCACGCATTATCGCACTTTAAACAGTTCAAACCGCTTTGTTTGCGCACCACTAGCCCATCACGCGTGTGCAGTCGCACCTCAGATTTATTTATTATCAGCACTTACATCACCTCCACATTCATATTTCGTTTGACAGATATTATTGACTTAATTTATTTAATAGGTATATTTTAAATGATTAATGTCCTAATTAAACAATTAGTTTGCAAACCCAAGGCTTTGGGTGCATAAGGCTCATAAAAACCTAGAATAAAAGCCAATTCATTAAAAAAGAGGGAATATAAAAAGGGTTAATCATATTTTACAGTTAGTTATAGCTTATAATGCTTTTTACGTATTATTTGAGTATTATTGTGGACATTTTATTTTATACCAAAACGATACAAAAAAGAGAAGAAAAGAGCTACTTGGTACATAAAGGGGAATTCTTTAATTATTAACATTAATTATTACTTAATTATATTTTTTTAAACTATTGTTAGTGCAGTGAAATAATGACTGCAGTACAAGCAAAAGTACAGATGGTTTAAGCATTCTTTAATAAAAAGAATGGTTCTTTGCATCTTGACCATGCAAAGATAAATAGAACCGTTCCCTTAATAAAGAACCCTTGAAAAAACATTTTTAAGAGTGTATCGTCTGAAAAAAAAAGAAATAATAATAATAACTGAAGTAGAAAGGCAGAAATAATACCTGCAAAGCTACTTAAGTGCTGAGGAACATAGTGGAACCTCAGAGAACATTAAGCATCTATCAGCACAGGAACTAAGAGGCTAAAATTGGCTTCACATTCAAATTTTCTGTTCCACCTTAAATTCTGCAGCTGTTACATTCTGACACCTCAGGCGCCAGAATGTAACAGCTGCTGCATGTAAGGTGGAACAGAAAATGCGAATAAGAAACTGTTTAAAAAGTATGAAATTAGAACCAAAAAAAGAATTAGGACTAAAATGGAACTAATGAAAAGTAGATTACTTTAGATTACTCACTAACATGCTCAAAGAAAAGTAAAAGTACACACATAATCATTTGAATGTAACCAAAATCATAACTATTTTGAAGAATCCTATAATGTGCACTGATATGATATGGCTTTCTTGTCTTTGAGCAATCTATTCTGCCACGGCGTCTCGCACTCCACCGCTGAGGGGATTTGGATTTTCAGGTGGGGGCGTCCAGGAGCCGGTGACAAGCATTAAATCCATATTAACTTGGCATTTAACACAGCCCTTTCTCTTTAAGCGCAGAAAAAAAGCCACACACCTCTTTGGACAAAGCTTTTAGTGCGCATCGTCTTGCTGCACCTGTTCTTTGATATGTCTTGCAGCAGGGATTAGAGTTTTTTCTTCTCTTTTTCAGAGATTTTTCTTTCTTTGACCCCCACCATTGGTTGTCTATGAAAAAGGGGGGTAAAAAGATCCTTCTATGTGCATTTCGCAAGTTTGAAAGCGGGGAAAGTTAAGCTCGGACGATTGTGCGAGGCTATTAAACTGAAATATCCCTCCCATTTGGCAGCGTGCATAACAGGTGCTGTTATAATCCTCTTTACACGCTGTAATTGTTCAACTGATTCATAAACAGGCACAAGCCAGCCCATTCACACTCATACAGTGCACATCTTTCTTTCTTTCTTTCTTTCTTTCTTTCTTTCTTTCTTTCTCTCCTTTTAATGCGTTTCTGTCACAGCTCGGGCCTGGACCTTTTGTTTGCATTGCACATTTGAATGCAAATTTAATTACTGGCTGATAGCAAAACTTCAGCGCAGAAGAGAGCTAATATGTCACTTTATTTCAATAATGCACAATAATAATGAGAGGGGCTGCATAAAAGGGGAACGCCACTGATTTTTTAAATTTTCCGCATAATTAACTGGTTAAGATGTAAACAGAGTCATTAAGAGTGGTTTGGTGTGAAATGCTCTGTTCTAGAGAAACTCACGAAGTCAGAATTGTTCACAGTGGTGGTGATAAGAACCAGACGTCCACCTCTAAAAGTTACCTCACAGAAAGTTGTTACATAAAATGGATATGAATACACTGCCTGATGACTGAGACACTGTTTTATGATAGTTTTGAGAATTCAAACTCCATTCATGCTGGAGGGATACATAATATGCAGGGTGTTGTGAGGCAAAATAGTCCCCAAAGAAAACTTATTATTTCAGATTTTCCATCATCAACATTCCATATAAAACTCAGAAGACTTGTGTAGGTTCACTGGTAGTTTTGGATGGTAAATAAAATGTCTCTATTTGTATTGTAGTCATGGCGACCCCTGGTTCCTATTACCACCACTGTAAGGGCCCACCACTAAAAGGTTAAAAACATATGTTTTAAGAAATATATGTTTTTTCCATATTTATTTTTTTATTATGCCTCATAACAGTCCTCCTAACCTTTTTGGTTTTAATTGAGCCATTCCATTAGGAGATGTTCTCCAAGCATTCTTTTACAAAAGCAGTGGTTATTTAGAACTTTCTACATGGTTAAATGTTTCTTCTTCATGATGGAGAACCTGCTGTAAATGGTTTGATTTTATAACTTGCATAAAAAGGTTGCATCTTTATAGAAATGTCACTTGAAAGGTTCTCTAGTGAACCGAAAATGTCTGCAAAGAACCCTTTTTTTAAGCGTTGTTACTGCATTAAAATAATGACTACAGTAAAAGCAAAAACACACTCCTAAAAAAGATGGTTCTTCTATGGGTTTTTAATAAAGAGAGCAGTTCTTTTCATGTTGAAATGGTTCTTCAGATTGATGGGAAATGTGCTGTAGATGGTTCTATATA